CCCCAGAATGAGTGTCTTACCTGCTGCTTGGGATGAAGATCTGAGTCACTAAATCAACACCTTTGACCTCTCTGAAAATAGCCAGAAGATGGACAGATTGTACAGCTGGGTTGCTGCTAGAGGCCAGAAAAAGGAGAGCTGAGGATTGAAGACAGAAGAGGTGACTGTTGTTAAGGCTGAACGTTTACAAGGCTTCAGTTGGTTATTGGATCGGCAAGCTTCAGCAGGCCTGCATTAAAGCTCTGCCCACATGAAGGGCGGTAGTGCAGACATGGCTGTTCAAGTCGTAAATGAGTAAATTGACAGACTTCAAGATGATTGTGTGTTTTATTTATGAAACTTAAAACATTCTGTTCTCATCTGGTTGGAATTGCAATCCCACTACGTAGCACTGTGCGTGTGCCAACCTCCAAAGCAACACACAAGTGAAGAAAAAACATTACTGGTGAATGTGAGGGGGTTGAGATGGGCTGCTACGCCAACCAGTGCTGGGTAGCAGCGCCTCTTCGTGCTGTAAGTGCTGGGCTGTGGAGCAGCTGCAGAGGACGAGGACAAGGCCTCCCAACCTCAGGGTCCACCAGGAGGGGCTGCGGGACACCCCCTGCTTATGGCCTCATCCATGGCAGTGACCCTGCCAACGTCCTGTGAGGCTGCGAGGAGAGGAGCATGGCTGGGAGTGCTCAGCACTCAGCCCCCCGCTGCCCCATGGGAACAGCGATGGCCTTGGAGCCCCTGGCTCCCAGCAGGGCCCCCTCCTGCCTGCTGCAGCTGTACCAAAAGCCTGGGCAACAGCACAACGCCAGCAGGCTGCAGAGCTGGGAGGAAGGCCCTGGCATCACCGGTGAGCTTTGGGAACAGGGAATAAGGGCCCTTCTTGTGGGTAGGATCCATGCAACAGGTTCTCCTCCAGCCCCAGGCCCTGAGATGCCTCCAGCCCATCCCATGGAGCTCCACTGAGGTCTTCACCCCAACCCCTGGTTCTCTGCACAGCCTCACACTGCAGCCGTGAGCCTGATTTTGGTGAACCATGAAAGAAGCACTGCAGCTCCAGAAGACCTGCAATGCTGTCAGCAACCAGCATGGCTCTGGGAGTGGGGTGAGTGTGGGGCAGAGCAGACTCCCTGCCATTCTCTGGATGAAGCTAACGGTGATGGAAGCAGCCGACATAAAGACATAATGACTGGTCAGGAAACAAAGCCAAAAGGAAACTTGCATAGGATAAGCAGCACTGCTGTGCTGGTGTGAAGGGGAACATGGGCATCTGTGTGCATGCACACACAGCCAGAGCACTGAAGGAATTTTGGCCGTGTCCAATCAAAACTCACACGGCTGGCTTAGTGAACAGTGCAGTTTACTAGCAATGGATGACAGGTTCTTTTGGATTGCCAGTGAAGAATTCACTGTCTGCCAAGTGTATGAGGTTAACCAAGAATAATACAAAGCATCTGCAAAGAACTAAGTGTAATACAGCCTGACCACCAGCATCCTAACGTATAAAACAAATCCATAGAGACTACTAAGTTTCCTAGGGAAGCACTCAGCATAGCCAAGGGTGCAAATCTTACCCAAGGTGAGTCCCTATGGGGGGAGGAGAGGTTCAGCCCCTTGGCAGATCCCAGAGGTGAGATATAGGCCATGTCTGATCTGTCTGCAATGGGATCTTCCTTAATCTTCCCTCCTTCTTGACCCACTTTTATCATAGAATCATAGAATGGCTTGGGTTGGAAGGAATCTAAAAGATCACTGAGATCCAACACCCCTGCCATGGGCTGCTTTCCAACCACCAGATCAGAATGACCAGAGTTCCCATCCAACCTGGCCCTAAACACCTCCAGGGCTCATGCTCAGTGAGGGGTGGTCATGCCTTGGAGGCAGGCAGCCTTTGGGACGGAGGTGTGTTTTGGTATTATAATAAGTGTATAATGAGCAAAGTTCAACCAAAGGCAGCTTTTTGTCAAGAAGATGACAGACTTGGGGAAGTAGTTTAGCACCACAAAGTTCCCATCCTAGCACTGCTCTTGTTGAAGTCAGTACATCAGTTCTCTTGATGTTATTGATACCTTGTGCTGCTTAGGGAACTACTGTAGGTCACAGCACTTGGCTGTGGAGCTCCACTCCACTCTACCTTCCATGCAATTTAGTGGCATAGAGGTTGCACTCTGCTCTTGTGTACCTGTGAATGACCCGTACCTTAATTTCCAGTGAACAGTGCTACACCTTAAGCTATTATCCCATATATTCTACCCTGTGATTGTAATCACTCAAGCTACATGATATTCAGAAGGAATGAGGAGTGTCTTGTGAGGATTATCAGTCACATCAAATGCGTATATATCTTGTGAGTATGGAAGATGAGCTTAGTGTTCCCCCATATTCCAAAATCTAACATCCATGGTAATTATCAAATTAAGGCAGAGAGCAGTGCATATTAGTTAAACAACAACATGGTGACGCTTCCAGAAGCAGTTGGTGACCATGGCCCCACTCATGATGTTCTCCATCCTTCACTCTTTCCAGGACAGAGTGCAGTGCTTCTACAATGTGATGGACACTCACCAGAGTTTTTGTCCATTTTCTCAAACCTGCACCAACAGTCACTTCAAGTCTTCACATCACAGCCACCCAACCTGCATAGGCAGCTCAGCCACCTCCATGTACAGCCTGGATCCCCTCAGCATTGCTGCCCTGCAGGGCTAGGGGTGTCCTGGGGGATCACACTATGCTGCAAGGCTCATTGCCCCCATGGCCACCATGTGCCACTTCCCCATCCTCCATGTATGTCCCTTGCTCTGTTCCATGCATCCCACCAGCCCAGGCAGAACTGGTGGCCCAGTATGCAGCCATTGGGTGCATATGGACATGGGGATGGGCTGGTGCCTGCATGCAGATCTCAGTCCTGCTGGGAGCTGCTCAGGGGGCACAGCAGAACCAGGACATAGGGAGAATCCATCCCAAGTGACTTCATCCAGAAGGGCACAAAGCTGTGGGGAAATGGCCAGGGGGCAACTGCTGCTTGGGGGGGTGCTGGGCATCAGTTGGTAAGCAGCAAGTGATTGCATTGTGAACATATATATATATAGTTATTATCTTATTCTTGTTTCCATTTTCCTTTTCTGTCTTAGTAAATAGTTTTTAAATCAACCCACAGGTTCTTTGTGGCAGTTTTGCTGAACAGTGATTGTGCTGAGCAGAGGTCACACAACATAGGGACTGTCTGGACCGTGCAGTGAATGCTTGTTGCAGTACATTCTGTGATGTAGGTTCTTGGCCATGCATCCAGTGGTGTCAAGGAAGGTGCAGAAGCAGGCTTACAGGAGCTGGGTACCAGTGTCCCGTTTCTTTGCTGTCTATATGATCCCATACTCCTAATACATCTGTCTGGCCACCTCCAAGAGAGAAGACTCTGAAAGACTTTCCTACCAGAGCAGGGTGTTATGTAGTGCCCTAAGCAGCCCTTGGGCCTTTGTTTTTTTGCATCACCCAGCAGTCAGCCCTTGCACCTTCCCCTGTGCCAGTGCTCATATGACTCCCAGCAATGACTGACATGCACCCACACACCCCAGTGCCCGATGGGACGCATCACAGAGCAGAGGAAAAGCTGTGTGGGGTTAGCACAGTGCAGCTTTATTTCCGTGGAGCAGGAGGAAGTTCTCTCCCACGGGTTCAGATCCCATAGCACACGACTTGCCAGCCCACAGCCATACCCCACCACAGCTTTTGCTAGCTAGCCCTGCGGCCAGCTGCAGCACCCCTGCTTAAGAGGCACGGTTCCCACAGTCGGGTTCCCCCACTATGAGGACAGCCATAGCTCCCCTCACTTACACAGCCCTTCTGCTAGGCAGATGCAGGAGCACGCCCAGGCTGCCCAGGTCCTGCTGGAGCAGCAATGTGCAGAGCGAGGCACTGCTGGGTACTGCCAGGCCTGGGCTGGATGAGAGCCACCTCCCAAGGGCTGCGTGGGGATTTTAGGTCCCTGCAGGGCTCCCCGCAGGGCTCCCAGGCAGGTTTGCAAGTGGCTGCATGACTGCACCTTGCTCAGACCATTTCCACCAGTTTGGCAGGGAGCGGTCATGATGGTGTAAAGCACAGAGTGGGCTGCAGGGCTGGAGGGCAGAAGGGCATTGCACGTGGGGTTTCCATCTCCCCCTTACTTGTGGGGGGCACTTTGAGGCTGCCACACAGAGAGGAACAAAGCCAACATTCGGGTCAGGTGCCTATAAACCCCCTCACAGACAAAGCTCAGCTACAGGGAAACACACACACACACACACTGGGCCACGGTCAGCACTCTCCAGAGGACACAGACAGAGGTGACGCGGAAGGCAGGAGGAGGTGGGGGTCCAACACCCGGCCTGGTGCAGGGCAGGGCTGCCCAGACCAGGAGCCGTGGGGGCCGTGGCCGAGGGCAGGTCCTGCCATGCCCTGCCCCGCTGCCTCCTGCCCCTCTCTGCGGCACGCAGCACTGCCCCAGGCAAGGTGGGCAGCGAGACCCGTGGGGAGTCACGTCACCCCTCCGATGCGTCTTGCCGAGAGTGCTGCAGGCTGCAAAGAGAACTGAAAAGTGCTTAGAAAAGAGAGAAACCCCTAGAAAACCCACCCCAGACAAGAGCCCGACCTCGCCTCCCTGCCCACGGCATCCCTGCTGGCCCGGGGCAACACCACAGAGGAAGGGGGGGCCGGGGCCGGGGCCAGCTGGGGTGGGAGGCACTCGGAGCACCCAGGCTCGCCCCATCCCTGCCCTCTACACCAAGGCGTAGTCAAACTGGCCCCTCTCCAACCCCTCCTTGTGGTCAGTCCAGGAGGAGGCAGGCATGCGGCTGTAGGGGTCCAGCAGGATGCGAAAGCAGCGCACCATCAGCATCACCAAGAAGACGAGGAGGAAGATGACAAAGGCAAAGACGGTTTTCTGCTCGGCATCCATGCCCGCAGTGCTGGCCGGGTGCTCAACCAAGGACGGGGACAGCAGTTCATAATCCATCGTCGATGCATCATTCATGGCAGAGGTGAGGCACACGAGCTGCAAAGAGCACGAGGACAGGGAGCATCGGGGCTTGGGCAGCCAGCTCCAGCCTCCTGCTGTGCACCTGGAACACCACCTGTACCACTCACTCCATAGCCACCAGCACTGCTAAGCTGAGCCAAGGAGCTCAGGATTCACTCCTGTGCAGACCGAGAGCTCCTGGAGGGAAAAGCAAGACGGAGAGAGAGGAGGAATTGGCCGCGGGCTTCAGCTAAAGAGCACCTTAGCTGCTAAATAATTAGAGACGGGAGAGGGCAGGGAAGAGTCTCTGTTGCCAGAATTGCAGTTATGAGCTTGCTGACACAGCCAGACAAGCAGTCAGTTATCTGAGAGAAAAGCCTGGGGACAGTGATATTTATGGCCAGAGGCTGAATTTAGTACGTATTTTCAGGCAGGAAACATGGGAAGAGTATTTGTTAATTGAAAAGTAATACTCTCAGCTTGAAACTTTTCTTAATTATTATTGTTTTAAATTCAACTTCTAAACTATCAGCATTCACCAGGAGTCATTTTTGCTTCAAGTAATTTAAGAATCAGAGGGGTTATTGTTTTTACTTTTGGCAGCTGAAGAAGTGAGAAAGACAACAGGAAGGAGGAGTAAATGTAGGGAGGAGGTGCTTTGTAGAAAGTGAGGATGTTTCAAAAGGAAATCTCCCTTACCACCTCAAAGACACAGGTTCACAAGTGGGTCCATGGTTTTCTGGCAAGCTCAGGAAGCACTGCCACAGTGATGCCACTCAGCAGGGACACAAAGGAACGGGGTGGGTGGCAACTTAGTCTGCTAGTCCTGAGCTTGCCTCTACGTAAATCCCGAGTCCCTCTGGAGAGGCTAGCTGCCTGCCAAGTACAGTGCTGCACTTGGGACTACTTGCCCTGAATCACAGGAAAATGAGACTGAGGACCTTAGCTGTGAATCTGAGCAGGTTTCTCAGGGCTTTACCTGTCTGGCCTTGACAATTTCCCAAGATGGGCACAAGCTCAGTTTGCCCATTCTCACCAAGGGTGATGTTTTCAGCTGCTGTGTGTCCCTTGAATTAATGACTGACTTCAGTTTTGGACCAGGCCTAGAAGGGGCTGAGTCCTGGAGGAGAAGGAGAGCACCTACCTCACTCCAGCTGTGTGGGTGCACTAGCATTGCTGTTGCAGGAGAAGCAGAAGACTGCCTCCCAACAGCCACATCACTGAGCAAAGATCTCCAGGATCCAGCTTTCTTGGGCTAGGGATGAAAAGCAGAAAGACAAATTGACAGAAGTTAAAAGAATAGCAGTCATTTAGCTGTCATAACAAAGCAACAAAGACATTCCTGATTTAGCAAATGCTGTGAGTTCTCAGTGTCTCTTAGACCAGGGCTCTCCTGGGTAGGACAACATCTTTACCAAAGTCCCCTTGCTCCATCCTGGAGCCTGAGTGCTCTTAGTGTTGTGGAGACTGCAGCAAAAGGTCCCACTAGGAGACACCCAGCCAAGCATGCCCCTGCCCTCCAGGCAGCAATACCGGGAGCAACTATCGGTAGGAAAAGGCAGCCAGCTATGGACCACAGAATGTTTGACATGGCTCTGACTCATGCTGAACACCTGCTCTCTTTCCTTTATCTGCACCTCCTGGGACACCGCAAGGAACAGTGCTTGCAGGCTTTAAAAATAATTTCATATCACAAAAACAGAAAAATAAAGGGCAACGGCAGCAGCAAGGTGAGAAAGAGGGGTGTGCTCTCTGTCCACCTTCCTGAGTCCCAGGATTCAGTTGCAAGACAGTGACCCAGTGCCATGTGATCTGTATAGAGGTAAACTATTCCTGTTTCTGAGTACACTGTGAATGGAAATGGTGATGTGTGCAGAAGGAAGCTCTGATATCTGTCACAACTTCCCGCAGCAGAAGTGATCTGCCACTTGTTGGAGATTGGCTGATCCTCACATGCTGCACTTTTCAGTCCAGCACAGTTTGTGATCAGGGGGTGGGAGGCACTTAATAGACAAATCCCCTTCCCTCTGTCCTTGCTTGAGAAGCCTAAACAGGCAAAAGCAAGATTTGATAGCGAAGAGGCTGAATGGGTGTGGGCACAGACCTGAACAGAGCTGATCACAACTGCTCTCTGGTCCCTTTTCACCCCATTTATTTGGTACTCTCCCTTCCCAGAATATCTTTTGTGTCTAGGCCAGACATAGAATGTTCTCTTGATAGGCATCTCTACAGCAGTGTGCAGCACAGCCCAGTTCTCCCACTGGCACAAAGCACCACCGAAACACACCTCTCTATAGGGATGATGAGCCCTGAGCTGGCATCTATGCCGATACTTGGCCAAGGTATGTCTAAACCCCAAATACCAACCACTCCAAAATAGCTTTCTCAACACTTCCACTGACACCAGCTTCCCAATTACATGTCAAGGCTTCTTATGTCCTTGGAGGGTGAGTAGTATCTTTACCCTCATTTGTCAGCTACATTATTGCAGGGAAATACCCACTGCACATCTCCAAAGGGAAACTACTTATATCCAGTGTCCCAGTGACAGGATGTTTGTCACCTCCAGGATGACTGCAATCAGAAGTCTCTTGGATTGTGAAGTGCTCATCATGCTGAGGTTTACACCCACCTCCCATATATTCTCAACCATGCTGGAAGCCCAGCTCAAGCAGTGTGGAGCCTGTGGGACTGCCAGATACAACCTTTTAGTGCTTCAGGAAGGCACCAGCTCTCATGAGCTACCTCTCAAGGACAGCACGTGGGTCATTATCTCCAATGACAGGTCTCCATCACAGGAATGACTGATTGGGCGAAGGCACGCGTGGCCCTGGCAGGTTCTGGTCCATAGTGCTCTCACAAAAACACAGATATATACCCTGATCTTGGGAAATGTATTCCCCTGTATTCCCCTGTATTCAGCACTGGTGAGGCCGCACCTCGAGTACTGTGTCCAGTTTTGGGCCCCTCACTGCAAGAAAGATATTGAGGCCCTGGAACGTGTTCAAAGGAGGGCAACAAAGCTGGTGAGGGGTCTGGAACACAGGGCTGATGAGGAGAGGCTGAAGGAGCTGGGAATGTTCAGCCTGGAGAAGAGGAGGCTCAGGGGAGACCTCATTGCTCTCTATAACTTCCTGAAGGGAGGTTGCAGTGAGCTGGGGGTCGGCCTCTTCTCTCGTGTCATCAGTGATGGGACCAGGGGGAATGGCTTCAAGCTACGGCAGGGGAGATTCAGGCTGGACATGAGGAAGTATTACTTTTCGGAAAGGGTGGTCAGGCACTGGAACGGACTGCTCAGGGAGGTGGGGGAGTCACCGACCCTGGGGGTGTTCAAGGAAAGACTGGATGTTGTATTGAGGGACATGGTTTAGTGGGAGCTATTGGGAATAGGTGAACGGTTGGACTGGATGATCTTTTAGGTCTTTTCCAACCTTGGTGATTCTATGATTCTATGATTCTATGATTCTAAATCGTGCTGGCTCAGGACCCAACCATCTGCTGGCAGGTCTATGGAGGAAGACCAGGACTGTTCAGCCAAGCAGTGCCATGGGCAGAGAGGAGCACTTCTCGTACCTTCTCTGTCAGGGATTTTGACAAATGTATCATCTGATCTTTAATGAGTACAAATTGCAAATATTAGATTTCTATGGCAGTTCCTGCCTTCCCTGGTAGCAGCCGCCCATGCAGTCAGTTAGGCTCCCTCAGGCCTACACTGGCAAGCCTCTGACTCTCCCTTGCTCGTGCTGTGGATTCCCATGGCAAGAGTACTGCATCAGGAGGGGAGAAGAATGGGGTGAACGAACTGAGCTGAGGAGTTTTCCAGCTGAGCAGGAAGCACATTTCGCAGTCAGCAGAGAATGGCCAGCCTCAGAGCACAGTGCCTTGTAGAACCTGGCTCCTCACACTCTGCAAGGAGTGGTCAGTAGTCCAGAGGTGGATGTGAACCATGAAGATGAGGACAGAGTTGGGAATAAAGCATCCCCAGGGCCTCAAAGTGAGCTGACTTCTGAAGAGCCTGGAAGCTCTTCAGACTGGTCTGATGTTGTTCCCATGGAAAGATGGTGGTCAGACACAGAGTGAGCACAGGAGCAGATGATGGTTCCACGTGACCCAATCAGAGGGGCAGCAGAGATGATTCAGAGCCTGGAGCATCTTCTGCATGAGGAAAGGCTGAGAGCCGTGGGACTGTTCAGCCTGGAGAAGAGAAAGCTGAGGGGGATCTCATCACTGTTTATAAATACCTGAAGTGTGTGAGTCAAGTCGATGGAGGCGGACTCCTTTTGATGGCAAACAGCAATAGAACAATGGGCAACAGGAAGAATCTGGAACACGGGAAGCTCCACAATAACACAAGGAAGAACTTCTTTATTGTCAGAGTGACAGAGCACAGGAGCGGGCTGCCCAAGAGAGGTGGTGGAGTCTCCTCCTATGGAGACATTCGAGACCCATCTGAACACCAACATGTGTGACCTATGGAAGGAAACCTGCTTCAGCAGGGGGACTGGACTCCATTTCTAGAGGTCCTTTTCAACCCTTTCAAGTCTGTGACTCTGTAATAGTAAGTGACCTTCCAACAGTTTCTGAAAATCCCAAGCTAGGGTGTCAGGGCCTAGAGATGTTCATGGACCTTTTTGTAATTCGATTTCATAGAGCTGAACAGAGAGCAAAGCTAAAATGTGTAGGTGGGAACCAGCTGCTGTTCCACAGGAGACATTCAGTAACGTCATCCTATAACTTCCACACATAGCACAGTGACTTTCTGGATATGCACAGAAATTTTTGGCCACAGCTGTCAGAATTCAGACTTTGGTGAAAATAGCTCAGAGATCAAATAAACAAAAGCAACCAGGCTCCTTATCACAGGCTCCTTCTCTCCCTCTGCCAATTATTCTTCCACTGCATGAGGCTGTGGGGCTGAAAATAGCAATAATCTCTGCAGAGAGAGCTCTTCCCATGTGCTAACTATTCCAGCTTGGTGCTGGGATAACTGGGGCCTTCTGTGATCTGGTCATTGTGATTGCACAAAGACAGCATCTCAGAGTCCAACCCTGCACCAAGAGCCCTAACGCCATGTCTTGCATTAACATGGCAGAGCATCCCTGCTTTGTGGCTGCCAAGAAGCCACTGCTGGCCGAGTGACTTCCACCAGCTGCAGCCCTCCACCAGAGACTTCAGTGGAGATTCATGCTTCCCATGGATACATCTGGGTTAGGAGAATTCCAATTTGTAATCCTTGGTACCAGCGATGCTGAGAACAGGTCCTGCTGCAATATAATCAACGCAAGCACAAATCATGTGTCTGGAGGTGCCCAACTGACTTGTAACTGATATCAAAAATGCAGGGAGAAACATGCATATGTGGAGGAAAATACAAGTTTTTCTGCCAAATCGTAACCCTGTATTAAAGTATTTCTCTCGCATTCAGGATGTGTTGCTATTTTATTACCATGTGAAGAATCAGACCTTAATTTCCCAAGAAAATGCTGGTAAGGTAGTTAAGTGAAGGCAGCTGTTATTTAAGGAATATGTGATTGAGTTTTATTAAGATTCATGTTCCCTTAGTAACTAAAAAGAATGCATGAGCAAGGAAGTGACTAAACAGGGAGAGAACTCACAAAGGAAGAGGACTGTCAACTATTTAGCAACACTGTGGGGATATTTTTACGAGTACAAAACACAAATTAAATGTTAATTTGGCAAATGACAAATATCTAATGAAATATTAACCTCAAAAAGAGGCACAGAACAGTGCTTACAATGCAGGATGCCATCTGGTGTGGAGGGCTCACCCTTCCCACTGGTGACACCTCCAAATGGAGGCTGATCCCATGAGTAGCAGTGGCAGAGGGATGGGACCGTGGAGGGATGGAGCCATGGCATGACTCAGCCTGCTGCCTGCACTGCCCTCAGACAGATCCACTAGCATCAGCTTATTCCACCCTCCCAGTCCTTGCAGGTTTTTGACCAAAAGACAAGAGCGAGAGCTAGCTGCTGTATGGGAAAGCACAAAAGGAATCAGTGGGAAGGGAACCCAGCTGTGGAGCCAGGGCCTGAGGCAGCTCACCAAGGCACTAACAACGCTTGTCTTACAGTGCTGGGAGATGAAGACAGCTTTTCAACACTGTAGTTGATATCAAGAAACACCCAGCCCTGCAAAGGATGCATTTTAGTGGCAGAAATTGAAAAAAGACCCACATGATTGACACAATGAAGCAGAACTGTACCCGAAGTGCTGACCTATTCCAAGAATGGAACTGGAAGATGAGCACTATTATGAGTGAAGCGGGGTTTAATTGCACTGTGTCATGGATGCAGTCCAACAGCCAGGGAGGGACTTCATTTGCACGCTTTTAAATAAACGCAACTTTCTTAGTCCCGTCTCACAACAAAAGAAGACATGTACAATTATATAACATCAATAAATGTGTGTAATATCTTAAGCAGAGAAAGCAGAACTAGTTTTGATGGAGGAGAGTTCTGAGGGGGCTAAAATGCTCAACTCCACATGAAGAGAGCAAACAAAATGTCTGCACGCAAGGAACGGCATCAAATTCATTAGGATGCTGCTAAAGCAACCCTGCTTTTCAAAGCACAGATCCACTGTTGCTCTCCATACAAACCTACGTGAGGCAAGCTGGAGGAATATCCCAAATACCCAGGGTTCAAGGAGGAATTGGTGTGCAAAATGAGCAGGACAGGGGAGCAATGCCACATACACGCTCTGCTCAGAGCTGGGAGTACTCAGCTGCTCTGCAGGAGCCAGGGGTCTCACAGGACCCAGCTCAACATGATCCCTGTTGTTAATATTCATCCCACTGCCGTGCATGGCACACAACCTCCTGTTGCAACCGGAGAGCAAACGCGATTGCCAGGGAGACAGGGAAGCAAGCACCCTTGTGAGGGCTGCAGGCAAAGTGCTTAAGCAAGAGGTCTGCAGGCCTACCAGCTCCAGAGAGAGACGGAAAGGCTTTACTTGCGGCACTGAAGGACTTTGTCTCTCCCTCCGCTGCTCCACAGCCGTGCTTCCTGGCCCACAGGCCCTTCTCCTTCAGAGCCGGGCTGGGCACACCTCTGGCACTGCCATAGGGATCTCGCTGCACAGCAGAATTCTTGGCAGGGCTTGCATTGCCTTTTTCAGTCAATGTTGCTGCTGATTCCCCACACTAACAAATGAACACATGCCACTGGGTTACTGCACGGCTGCCAGGATCAACAGAGCTGCTGCTACAGCCAGGGGCAGCTGGAGATCCCTCTAAGGAGGGAATAAGAGGAGCTGCATCCCCTCTTCACTCCTTCCCAAACGATTGCATTCACCTGCCATTCTGCAGTGCTCACCTTTCCTCTGGAGGAAACCGTCTCCCACAGGATCTCCTCCTGTTCCAGCCTAGTTATGCCCCTCAGGAAGAGAGAATTTGTAGGCTCTGTTTCCAGGAACAAGCACCCGATTGTCTGTGGAATCCGTCCCACAGGGCTACAGATCATGGCATGGATACATGCATTACAGGCTTCTGCTCCAAAGCAGTGCCCTGGAATGGGCTGTGGGTCCCTTACAAGCAGTCTGCAGGGATGAGTGGCAGCAGTTAGTTTTCCTTCAGGAGGGCCTCCACCACCAGCCCTGCCAGCACCTCTCCATCACTTGGCTCAGCTCCCAGCTCCCATGAAGGTCCAAGGAAGACCCCAAGTGTCAGCAGGATCCCTTAACTGCACCAATGGGTCCAGATGTCCCCTCATGCTCTAAAGATTGTTTAACGTTTGCTTTTGAGCACCTTCCAGAAGGAATGACACTTCTGTCCTGCAGGACTGTCATGGACTACACAAGGTCGAGACCCTGGGAGGGATGCTCTGTGACTCTCCTCTGCCCCATGCGCTGTGCAGGGACGCACCAGGGCAGGGGCTGAGGAATGCCCATCTGCCCATGACATGAAGAACCGGGCTGAGGGGATGTACCCACAGCCCTTTGCCTGGGCTGCAGGAGGACCCCAGGCTCTTTCTGCCCACTGCCCCTTGGTTCCATCCCAGCCCTGCAGCCCTGCACGTCTGTAACCCAAGCCCCCTTGTAAAAGGCTGGCAAGTCTTCTGACACGTTAGCCCACGGCTAACAGGAAGGCCAGGACTCTGCTGTTTTTCTGGTCCCATGCAGCCACTGTGGAGGGGACTTGCTGGCAAGGCAGCTCTACTTCAGGATTGCTGCTGAGCCCCACAGTAGAGGAAGACAGGGCATGGAGCACAGGATGGAGCTAATCAGGCCAGGGCAGCAGCACGAAACACTGAGGGTGAGGCACTCTTGCCCCTAGAGGGTGCAGGGGCAGTTCTGGGGCTCTGAGGTCCACAGCATCACGTACCCTGATAGACTGAACCATACCAAGAGTCAGCCTCCCTGGCACACTGCTAGGCACGGTGCCCCTCACCCAACTCTGCCTTCTCTCTATCCAGTTTTCACCACAGAGATGGCCTGCTCTAATCACATTCAGGACAGACAAGCAGAAGGCAACCTCCAGGCAAGAGCCTCAGCTAAGGAGAGATGATTCTTCCCAGATACTGCAGTCCCTGGTCTCCCTGGGAGCAGAGCATGGGAAGCTCAGCCCAGCACAGTGCTCTGCAGAACTCCCTTCATGTGCCTTCCGTCATCCCAGCACACAGAAATCCCACCACCACCAAACCAAGCCACCCGGTAGGAAGATAACCCAACAATAAATCTGTCTGTTACCCATAACAACAGAAAAGCCCAACATCCTGCTCTCTCCATCTAGACTCAACAGTTTCCACCAGAAGACATACTGGTCCCAACACCAGATGAGCAGAGCTACCCCACATCCCGAACCCATCCCAGTGAAAGGTCCTTGACAACTAAGCATAGAGACAACTTCCCCCTCCCCTTTGCACTTCCTGGCTCTGCAAATCCTCTGTCCTCCCCATGGCATGAACACTTGCGAGGGGTTGGGGCATGGACAATACCTGGATTGCATGGTCGGGGGGCCCAGCCATTCAGCCACAGCGATTCCCAGCTCTAGCACTTGCCATCTCAAGGGAAAGAGCAGATGCCTCTCTCCTGGAGAGCGCACAGGGAAGGCAACTGCTCTTCACTCACACTGGAGCAGGTTCCTATGGCGATGCAGAATCAATTATAATAAAAGGTGGAGCACAGCTATTGGAGCTGGGAGAAGTTTTGTGAGCTGCCTGCCTGGGAAAGCGATGCTGTAAGAGGAAATGGGCTGGGGACTGTGGGCTGGGCCTGGCCATCCCTGGGATCCAGCTCCTGAATCCCAGTGTCCCCCTGGGTGCTCCATGCTCTCCCAGTGCAGTACGTACAGGGGTCTGCCAGACACCTACATGTCTCACCCACATTTCCCAAAAGGAAGGGAAGGCACTGGGAGCAATCCGAATTATCCAGCTACAAATCTGTCTAGTACAGGCCTTTGCACTCCCACCCTTACCATGTCCCCATGGAAGGAGCAGATCCCAGCATGGAAAGTTTTTGTACAGCAGAACAGACAGCCCTTCCTTTCACATGCAACCCTCCTTTTGTTCAACTCCCTTGCAAAAGTTGCTCCAGCTGTGTCTGTCCCAGAGCCACAGCTTTGCTCTCAGCAGGCTGAGATACACAGGAGCAAGCACAGCCTTCCTGCTGGGCAGGCACATCCCTACTATGCCAGCATTGAATCCAAGCCTGACTTCATGCAGCACCCAGCACATGGAACTGCACCTCCAAGATGCAGTTTAAGTATGAGATGCTGGGTGCACAGCTGGCCATGAAGATGTTTAAGGAGTGAAGGATCTGCGACTGCAAAATATCACTACAACCCTGTATGCACCTTCTCACTCCAGGCTCAAGGAGTGATCCAGGTTCAGTGCCAAGCCTGGCAGCTTTGGGATGCAAAGTGCTGTCAGGCTGGCAGTGTCACACCCAGCTCACAGGGAAACAAGCCGAGGTTCGGGAGAGGTCCAGGAGTGTGAATACATGCTTGGACCTCAACCAGAAGCCACACTCTGCCACGCTGCCTAACACTCCTGCACAAGCTCGTGGCTGAGTGTGTGCCACCAGCTCTGCCTGCTGCTGCTTCCCACCTGCACGCCCTCCCCACCTCTCTGTGTCAGATCTGTACAAGCAAATGATGGCAATCTTTTCTCTTCTGGAGAAAGGTGACAGGAGCGTCGAAGCCTGGGCAATATGATTTGGAGGAAGAACTAACACTAGATGCAAAAGGAGAGTGTCAGGGACAGGAGGGGTCAGTATAACTGGCAGATCCACTGCAGCAGTGATCATGGGGAGGAGATGATCCACATCCAGTTTTGATGATCATCCACAGACAAAGGCTGTGTCTCCTTGTTCTGAGTCCTGAGCTAAAAGATATGGGGACAGGGTTGGCAGGAGCTCAACAAGTGAAGAGTGCCTGGTAAACAAATATACGTAGCCTGACCAACAGCATCCCTGAGTTTTTGGCAGAATTTAGCTGTCTGAGCAAGCCCAGAAAGCAAGATTTGGCCATTCCCAGGCACCATGAGTGAGAATGGCAGTCAAGTTCTGGAAGCAGGATATCCCTCTGAACGCAGATTCTCCTGTAATTTGTCACTGCTATGTCCACATGTGGCTCCTGTCATCTGCTAACAGCAGGGCCTTGCACATGTAGATCCTCTTGAATGAAAATCTTCATGAAAAAAAGAAAGAAAGAAGAGAACTCTGACCTACAGGGATTCCAAGGGAACAAAGGCAGATGTTCAAGCAGGAGACTTAATGGAAGGGAAACCAGGGGTGACATCCACTGCTATGTGCTCTTGTGAAAAGTGACTCATCCCTCCTCATTTATGTGCTCAGAAAGGGACATAAAAAGCTGCTGTACTTCTACTGGCTGTTAGTGGCACCCGTAGGTATGGATTAGAAGCCCAGGTTGCATGTAGCTGCTGGGAGGTGTTGCAGTCCTTCTCCACACTGCTTCCTTGTTATGATTTCACAATTTCCCCAGTGCAAAAATCCATTCTATAAAAATTAATCACCAAATCATAAAAGCAAAATCCTCCATGGTTCCCCTTCAGCACAGTGCAGCATATTCCCTTCCTTCAATAAAGTAATTCATTGTAAATACCTAGAAATAACCACAGTATTTCCTGTCCAATCCACTACAGCTGCTAATTGAATGCAATTTTGTGGTTGTGTTTGCTTGCTTGTTTTTCAGAGATGCTTACAGAAAACATTCTAACACTTAAATCATCACATTGCCAGGAGCAAAGGGCCATGAATGGCCTCCCTGCAATATTAATATTGCTTTGCTAGTCATCAGTCTTTTGGCCAGAACTGGGAGTATGTGAACGAATCATAGCTAAAATTCTTCCTCATAGGCACTCATGGAAGTGTCATAGGAGCCCCTTATGACCTGTGGTGTCCCTGGCTGTGGAACTGTGTGACCCGTAAGCCAGAGGAGCTGCTTGCACAGGGGTGCCTCAGGACCCCCTTGCTGATGTGCGGCCACTGGCAGAGTTGAGGGGCTCTGCACTGTGCAATCCATCCCTGCCCAACTCCCATTATGCCTCATTCCAGCCCAGCATAGGCCAACTCAGTCCAACCCTTCTCAACATCCCCATTGGCCCCACAGCCATGGCTTTCATGTGCCTCATGCGCTGCGATTAGCCAAGGAGCTTTGCCACATCTTTGCCTAAGGGCTGAACACCACGACCTCTGGCCAGAGCTGGTCGTGCGCCAGCAGCGTCCAAATTCACAGCAGCAGCTGGTCCTGGAGTGTGCAGCTGAGCTGCTGCTGGGTTAAATCACAACAGTCCATTTGGTGCCCAGTGTGGGGCTCAGTGGGTTGAGATAAAGGCATATCTGACCAGAACGCGTTAAAACAAAATTGTTGTGTTACAGTAGGTCAACAGCTGCTGGCACAATGCTGATCTTGTTCTTCACAGTGTGGTTTTATTTGCTTTCCTGGTTGTTTTTCTTAACTCCTTCCAGGTTTACCATCTCAGGGGGCTGGCCTAAGCTTATCTGCAGTTTTGCCAGCTTATATATAGCAGACGCTCATGTTATACTGGATTTAATTTGACATCTGCACTCAGCACAGACATAACTTTTGCATTTCAGGAACCTTATCATGGAAACTCTTAAAAAGAACACTCTTTACTACAGGCAAATTAAAATAGTTTCTGAAGTTTTCTTGCATAGCTGGGATGCTCAAGCTAGCACGATCCTATTGCTATGTCTTCTGCATGTATTTCCACTTTTGGTTAAGAAGCAATTAAAAAATACCACCCAAAGCTCTCCCCTGAAGCTGTGGACGGCAGGGTGTGTGGGAGGAGATGGGCAGGTACTGTCACTGTTATCACCTCCAGTGGGTCTGTAATTCACCTCTGAACAAGTGTGGAATCCTAAAAAGCAGACAGAATTTTTTTAAAAGATATGTCCTGATTCTGGCAATGTTGCACTGAAGATGGAGGACATTAAGAAGATATTTGCTTTGCCTGGTCTCTCAAAGGACCCCATAGTTGTGGGGTTGCTAAGGGTGGAAGAACAGCAGGTGCCAATCACTACCACAGCAATGCTCTGGTGTCAATATCACACCAACCAGGACTCCCTGATTCCATCCATCAGCTGATTCACCAGCTGGAGAACCAAGGAGTAATCAGCAAGACTCACTCACCTTTCAGTGGTCCCATATGACCAGTGCAAAATTTCAGCAGAGATCGGAGGCTGACAGTGGGCTATCATGGCCCAAATGAAGTCACACCTCCGTTAAGCACTGCTGCCCGTCATACTAGCCAAAACGAACTGGAGTCAAAGGCAGGCAAGTGGCATGCCACAACTGACATCACTAATGTGATCTTCCCAATCCCTCTGGTAGCTGAGTGCAGGCCTCAGTTTGCTTTTACTTGGAGGGGCTCCTGCATGTGGGGCACTTTGGGACACGGTTTAGTGGATATGTTGGAGATGGGTTGATGGTTGGACATGGGTGATCTTAGAGGTCTTCTCCAACCTTAACAATTCTATGATTCTATAAATGCTATGACTATGAGTCAATCATCTTATTCTTTAAATATAGAGCAGCCTGGGAGCTCTAACCCTCATAACAAAACTGCATGTGACCTCCCCAGTTCCTTCTAAATACTGTGAATTTTGAGTGACTACAGCCTTGGGGTAGATTACATGGAATATCTCCTGGAGATGATCTATTGAAATGTCCACTCCTTGAGAGAAGGCAGAATTCCAGGGTGGAATGAAGTGGATAATCTGTTCCGTGTTAGTTCTCTAAGCAACACAAGACCAGCAAACCTAAGGTTGCTAGCAGTGCCAGGGGAGCTTGATACGCTGACTCTAAGTGATACAACACTGAGGGGGGAGTGCAAACACACACATAGCCAAGTTCAGTGATAACATTGCAGGCAGGAATTTGATAGTGCTACAGAACAGATAAACATCCTTCTTGGTACACTGAGCCAGCAGCATTCCACCTTTCTGTCAAAAATGCATTCTCTGAATAAACTTTACAAAGTGCAGGTGTGTTTGATTAGAATCACTAAAGCTCCACCTGAAAGAAAGAAAATAAACAGTTAAAAATGGCTTAAGAGGAGGAAGGGGAGGAAAGATACCATCACAGATTGGTCAACAGCACAACACTGGCTTCTGGGATCAGATGACAGGCTGAGCCCCACTCCTCCCCCATAGGGATGCCTGCTGGGTAAGATTCACACGTGAGGTTGTGCTAAGTTCTTCCCTGGGAAACCTAGAATTCTCTATAGACTTGTTCCAACCATTTAACATGGTTGTAGTCATCTGTACTATGTGTGTTCTTGGTTAACTTCACATACTTTGCAGACAAAAGAACTTGTATTGCTGCTGCTTTAATAAACTGCGCTATTAATTTACCTGGCTGTGTGAGTTCTCACTGGGAGCAGCCAAATTCCTTAAGAGCAATCATGAGAGTACATTCAGGTGTGAC